TAACCACCAAACTGCCTGAGGATTCAAGAGCAACAGCTGGTTAAGAATGGACATGACCTTTGAGAGAGCAGGAATCTTTGGAAAAAGGAAGTCACTCACCACGCTTATTATGACAAGCATGCTAGAGTGGTAAGACTGGGGACTGAGTCACCACTTCCTAGATGGGTTGATTTTACCTCTCTCAGCCTAAGTTTCCTCATTTGAAAAAGGAGATACATATTTCTTTTTCCTCCAAAGTTATGAGTGTCAAATGCAGTAATGGATGTGAAAAACTCTAATGCGAAGCCTGAAACACAGTAGCCGAGTATAAATGTGAGCTTCCCTTTCTTTCCTGTAATCTCCCAAGGGGACAGAAGGCTTGTTTTCCTCAAGGCCAAGCCTTCACCCTCTTCTCTGGCTCCCTCCACTGCCCTGCTGCATCTCTTTTCTGCTGCTCTGTCACCACCTTGAGAAGCAGGAAGAATACAGGGGACTTCGGGCAAAGCTGCAGCGATGAGAGTGGTAGCTAATGCCCCTTCCACAGCAGAGCAGCTCCAGTGACTGACCTCAACACAGCAGTGACCTGAAGCAGCTTCATTCACACACACAGCTAGGCTAGCCTGGGCAACACAAGACCCTGTGTCAAAAAAACTAAAAAAATAACAAACCCAGAGCTAGCCAGGTGCGGTAGCTCACACGTGTAATCTCAGCACTTTGGGAGGTCGAGAAAGGCGAATCACGTGAGGTCAGGAGTTCGAGACCAGCCTACATGGCGAAACCCCATCTCTACTAAAAATATAAAAATTAGCTGGGCATGGTGGCAGGCACCTGTAATCCCAGCTACTGGGGAAGCTGAGGCAGAAGAATCGCTTAAACCCAGGAGGCAGAGGTTGCAGTGAGCCAAGATTACATCATTGCACTCCAGCCTGGGTGACAGGAGTGAAACTCTGTCTCACACACACACAAAAAGAAAAACAAAAACCCCCAGAGCTAACAAAGGCAAAGACCTAAGAAAATCTTAGGAGGTCTCCATGCAAGCTTTAAACATGCCCTAAATAAGGAAATCACTTCTCACAAATCCTTTCTTCTGCTTAAATCATAAAAGCCTTCTTTTTCTAGCAAGGAAAGAAAAGAGAAGGTTCCTAAATCTGGATTTCTTTTGATGGCAGAAATTGGGGACAGAGAAGCAATAAAGCCTTTCTTTTCAAGATTATTATTCTCTCCCTTACGTCATCTGCCTCTGTTCCAAAATTCATCCTGTAGTCTACCCTAAATATACCACTCTAAATCTGGGTTGCACTAAAATTTTTATTAGAGTCAAGTACGTCCTGACTTCTAATGAGCTGTATGACTCAAAAGTCTGAATTTGCACCAGGCCAAGATTAGGCCAAATAATGCATTATTTTTGATGGAGTCCTCTGAATCATGCTTTGCTCTTTTACAAGTGGTTAGTCATGCTGGACAAGAATTCAGCATGCTGATTACAGGATCACTGATGTGAGCACCCAGGATGTTGTCTGTAATGGAGTGGCTGTTCTTTTTTCTTTCTTTCTTTCTTTTTTTTGAGAAGGAGTTTCGCTCTTGTTACTCAGGCTGGAGTGCAATAGTGCAATCTCAGCTCACTGTAACCTCCGCCTCCTGGGTTCAAGTGATTCTCCCGTCTCAGCCTCCTGAGTAGCTGGGATTACAGGCATGTGCCACCACATCCGGCTAATTTTGTATTTTTTATTAGAGACGGGTTTTCTCCATGTCAGCCAGGCTGGTCTCGAACTCCTGACCTCAGGTGATCTGCCCGCCTTGGCCTCCCAAAGTGCTGGGATTACAGGTGTGAGCCACCGTGCCCAGCTGGAGTGGTTGTTCTAATGTCTACACGACAGCTATAGACATGGATAAAACTGAGACCAATTTTGAATAGTGGAGGCTTGGCTCTTCAACTATATCAAAGAGGTTATAAGGCAGATGAAGAAAGTTGGGCTCTAGCTTCATTGAGGCTCAAATGAGAGGAAACTAGGTTAGTAGACAGACGATGAACATTCAGGAAAGACTTTTTCAGGCAATAAAAGCCTGTAAGACACTGGAGTTTTTTATGAAGAATGTCTTTAGACTGAGAATCATTTGTCTGAAATGAATCAGGTGCTGGAGATGGAAGCAGGTGTTGAGTGCTCTCGGCAGCCCCTACTTGCGCTGTGATACTGAATTGTTCTCTAGAAAAAGGGACAATCTTGGCTCTTTAAGTAATGATTTTGGAAAATTCCAAAGGAGTGGTCCTCAAATGTCTTCCTTCATCAGTTAGAGGCAAAATGGCTCGTGCGTGCTCAAATCCTAGCTCTGCCCTTTCTAGGTCTTAAGCTAATTCTTCAGTTTCTCAGATCTTCGGGTTCTTCATTGGTCTAAACAGAGATAGTGATAACATCAATCTTCAAAGGCTATGGTAAAGATTAAAGGAGAAAAGACTGCACAAACAGCTCAGCGCCGAGCCCATCACATAGCAAGCTGACAACAAACAGTAGCTATTATTGCTATCTGCAATTTGCTCAGAACAGCCTTTTAATTCCCTGACTCCAAGGTGAGGGACATGATGGTAATCTAAAGAAATATCATGCAGCTGAGTGTTGCGTGCTTGTAGTCCTAGCTACTTGGGAGGCTGAGGCAGGAGCACCGATTGAGGCCAGGTGTTGAGGCTGCAGTGTGCTATGAGCACACCTGTGAACAGCCACTGCATTCCAGCTTCAACAACATCGTGAGACCTGTCTCCAAATGAAATAAAGCAAAACACAATATACAACTGAAACAAACAAACAAACAAAGTAATATTATGAGCTGGCTCAATGAACAATTTTCACTTTGTCGATTAGGCCTACTCTTAAAATGCTATGTGACCTTGTAACTCCACTCGCTAAGCCCATCCTAATCTTCTTCCTGTGTTTTACTTTTTCTTTTTTTTAGCAGCATTTATCACCTTTTAACATACGGTATAACTTACTTATTAAGTTTATTGTTTATGGTTTGTGTCCTCTGCTAGAAGACAGGCTGCATGATGGCAGAGATATTTGTTGCCTTTTGGCCACTGATGTACACTGAGCAGCTAACATAGTGCCTGAACATGTTAGACCCCGTGGTTAAATGAACAATTCTGGGATAAACAATAAAAGCGATGTCTTCAGGCTGACAGAGCTAAAGATGACAGCACTTAGGGCCTAGTGAGTGAAGTGTTTATGTAAGTCTGTTGGCCCCATATTCACTCACTCACTCATTCTCATAATAAACATCTGAACACACACTAAGGGGACAGTGGTGGGAACTCAAAGAGCAGAAGTGGATCCACTGCAGCCAGGTGTGAAGGCCTTGAATGCCATGCTGAAGAGTTTGAACCTGATCCTAGATGCACAGATAGACCACAAAGGTTTTTTTTTTTTTTTTTTTTTTTTCGGACAGAGTCTCGCTGTGTCACCCAGGCTGGAGTGCAGTGGTGGGATCTCAGCTCACTGCAACCTTCACCTCCTGGGTTCAAGCGATTCTCCTGCCTCAGCCTCCTAAGTGGCTGGGACTACAGGCATGTGCCACCACGCCCAGCTAATTTTTGTATTTTTAGAAGAGACGGGGTTTCGCCACGTTGGCCAGGCTGGTCTCAAACTCCCGACCTCAGGTGATCCACCTGCCTCAGCCTCCCAAACTGTTGGGATTACAGGCATGAGCCACTGTGCCCGGCCTCAAAAGGGTTTTAAAGTAGAGGACCTGCATGATCCAATTGTGTTTTGGATGGCAGCAGAGGGACAGAGGAAATGGCAAGGGGTTGAGAGATGTGGGGTCACTGGGGCCCAGGAACAGCTGAGTGTGAGATGATGAAGGTGGGAAAAAGGCAGATTTGAGAGGTGCCTGGATGTGGAGGGAGGTGAGAGAGAGGAAGGAGGAGAGGATTCCCCAGGGCTTCTAGTTAAGCCTCTGGGTAGAAGCAGATGACACTAATCTGAATAGGGATTAAAGGCTAAAGAGTAGCATTAGGCAGGAGGGGCAGATATAGGCGGTGTTCATGATTTGGTATGGGGGGCATGTTAACATTAAGGTCCCTCTGTGAAATACATTCATGCAACAATTATTATCTAAATGTGTGTCTGACTGAGTGAAAATCTCCTTAGACCTGGGACAGAACTGGAGTTAGAGATACTGATTTGGGAAAGAGACGGCTCTAGTGACAGCACCTTGAGAGTCCCCAGAGAGTAGGTCCTGTCTGTAGTCATGGTAAGGGGTGACACGAGGTAGAGATGTTGTGCAAACAGCAGGCCAGAAGCTTGCTCCTTAGAATCCTAATATCTAAGGGGTGGGTGGAGGAAGAGGACAGGGCAAAGGACAGTGAGAAGGGGCTGTCTGAGAAGCAGAAGGAAACCCAGCAGAGAGTGAGACAGAGAATGTCCTCATTCGGGGATTCCTAAAATTCACTCCGGGAAAACCCCCAATTCTTTACATTTATTCCCAGGCAGACCGAAATGCTGGTAATGCTGATAAAATTTCCCCTATTGCTTCATCATGGAAGCCTTTTACTGGAAAACAGACACAGCTGGGTGGGCTATGGGAACAGATACATGTGTTCTCCTCTCTGCTAATTTAACTAACTCACACTTACTCCCATCACAGAACCACACAAGCCAGAAACCAAACCCTACCAGGAACACAGCCTTGGTGTAGGAAGGGAGCCTAGCTCTGGCTGACTCCGCTGTGTTCACAGACACATTGACTCATTTGTTCCTGCCTTAATCGGGACACGGAGCACAATAACAGTGGGCCCACTGCTCTCCGAATTCACATGTGTGCTTGAAGGTGAGCTAAGAAATGCTCATAAAGTGCTTTGAGCTCCTAAAAGAAATAAACATGAAGTCCATACATTATTTTTGTAAGCCTGTGAATAAGTCTCTTCTCATCTTGAAAGAAGCTCTCTTCCAGGGCAGTGTTTTTATCTCACCCAGTGTCAGAGCTCAGTATTCTGAACAAAGAATTTGGTTGCCATGGGAACCGAGGAATCTCACACATACACACCCCCACTGATTCCAGAAACACAAAAGGAGCTGACTCAAAAGGTCTGGAAGAGTTAGAAAGGGGAAAGATGACACAGGCCGTTAGTGAGGGCTAGCGGAGGGAATTAGGGCTTTCGTCCAAGGAAGGAAAAAATCATAACACGTTATCTTTCAGGGAGTGTCTGGTGCAGGCATGCAGGGAGGAAGAAAACATGACTCTGAGCTTGACCATTCAACTTTGAAACTTTAACAATCAATGGATTAACACACACGAGTGTACGGTCTGCTGTGCATTCAGCTCTGTGCTGCTAGGCAAAAGAAATATCAGATCAGGAACTGACAGCCTCAGAGCAACAGGAAGAAAGGCTTAACATAAGTGTTTCATTCAAGCAGGCTGGCCTCGTGCTTATTGAGTTGAACATCACTGAGCACAAAATGTCAGCCAGACACCTTAAGAGCTGTAAGGATGATAAAAACCTCTTTCTACCCTTGCAAGGTCTAAGTGTAGTGGTCAGGAGAGAAACAGACACAAAGATTATGCTGGCTGGAGGGAAATGCTGGAATGAAGGTGGAAGGTACATCCAGAATGTTCTGGGAGTGGGGTATAGCGAATGATTGGTTCTGAATTAGAACATGAAGGGAAGGTATTAAGAAAGAGGTGATATTCAGGTTGTATGGGAAGGGAAAAAGAAAAAAAAAGAAAGGTGATTAAAAAAAAAAAAGAAATAGGTGATATCCTGAGCGAGGGATTCCGCGCGTGCGCTCGGCTCCGCCTCGTGCAGCTGCGGCCGGGAGGCGACTGGAGTATGTCGGCCCCGTCCGTGAGTAAGGTGGTTCCGTGCGGGACCCCATGGGGCCAGTGGTACCAGACCCTGCAGGAGGTGTTTATTGAAGTTCAGGTGCCGCCAGCCACGCGCGCCCAGGATATCCAGTGCGGCCTGCAAAACCGGCATGTGGCGCTGGCGGTGGGCGGCCGCGAAGTCCTCAAGGGCAAACTCTTTGATTCTACAATAGCTGATGAGGGAACATGGACTTTGGAGGATAGAAAAATGGTTCGTATTGTTCTTACCAAGACAAAGAGAGATGCAGCAAATTGTTGGACTTCTCTACTAGAATCTGAATATGCAGCTGATCCTTGGGTACAAGACCAAATGCAGAGAAAGTTTACATTAGAGAGATTCCAAAAAGAAAACCCTGGTTTTGACTTCAGTGGAGCGGAAATCTCAGGAAACTACACTAAAGGTGGACTAGATTTCTCAAACCTTGAGAAGTAACTGCTTTTTCTCCTGCGTTCTGTGGATCCTAGCAGATATTGCCAACTTAATCAGAGGAATAGATTATGTGATGGAAGAAAAATGGGGATGCCTACAGTTAACAAATTACAAAATATATTTTTAAATGGTTCTAGAAATTGCATTGAAACATGATTTATGTAGGAAATATACTATGGGAACTATTCTATGGATCTATGGTAAAGTTTTTTTGGACTTGTTTTTGCTCAGCATGAAGTTTTATATGCTACATTTTACTAACTCCATATTTAACCATATTTTTAATACAAAAGAACATTGGAGTATAGATCATGTGAAATGAACGGTGCCTTTAGGGAAAATTAACTTTTTCTTTTGATAAACACAATATTCAATAAAGTTTTCTAAATAGAAAAAAAAAGAGAAAGAAGTGATTTTAAGCATTTATTGAGCATCTCTATGTTTTTTGTGTATGTGACCTTGCCAGGAAATGGAGTATCTCTTCTTGATGCCGGCAATGAACAATGTGACAATCTTCTATCCTCACAGGGCTTCCAACAAATGGAGGCTGGGGAGGGGGTTGAGTGGAGCTGCGGGAGTGTGAGCAAAGGTCTGGAGATGGGTACTGTGTCTGGAGAGGGAAGCATCTTGGGTGGTGGCAGATGGGATGCTCTGAGATCAGGTTGACATGGGAGTGGCGCTGTGTGTGGAGGGTGGTCAGTGCCATCACAGGGCATTTTCACTAGGCTTTACTGCCTGGTCAAACATTTGGGACCCATAGTTGACCCACCCTCTCCTAGCACCCATCTCCTAGATGCTAGAAATGAAGCATTGCATTACTAGCTGGGCTTCTGTTCAAACCCCAATGTCTGGTTGGATGGGACTGAGGCCCCCAACCAGAGCTGAGCAGCCTCCAGGGAGGCTCAGTTTCTGAGCAAGGACAGGTGGTCAGTCTGTGCCTTAGGCAGGTGGTTATAAAAAGACACTTTAGAAGGGTCAGAGATGGAAAAGCTGGAAGCCAATGCCATGGCAATTGTTCAGGCAAGAGATGACACAGACCTGTAACGGATGAATGGGAAGGAAGGGACAGCTAGGAACTGACTAGGATGAGCCAATAATTAGATGCAGAAGTGAAGGAGTCAGAATGACACTGGAACAGGGTGGGCAGGAGGAGGGAGGGGACCATCAATAAGACAGAGAACACAGAAAGGGATCTGATTTTGCATGGAATCTGCATTGTGTTTTGGACGTGCTGATTTGGGAGATACTTGAAGAGGATTATGTGGCGATGCCTGCTGGGAGCTGGAAATGTAAGGCTGGTGCTTGGGAGAGAGGCAGAATGAGACGTGTTGACCTGGGCATCATGCACAGAGAAACTGAGCCTGAAGCCCCTGCCTGGTGGGAGTTTCTAAAAGATTTACAGGATAACTGACAGCTGTTGGGGGAGAGAAAATGACAATTAATTAGGCTGAGACACCAAATCTTATCATTAGCAAGGCTTCTGGAGGTGAGATGGCTTAAATATTAAGAGATACTAAATAACTGTTTGTCAAATCTAACCAAACTTCCCACTTAGGGCAAACATCATATGACATAAGTGTCACCTGTTTATCCGGATGGCACTTGAATTTTTCCAGGGGCAAGGACATTATCTCATGACATCCATACCTAAAATAGTTCCTGGTACAGAGGAAGTGAACAAGGAATCCATTATCTTTTGAACGAAGGAATGAATGAGTAGGTAAATCACAGTGTCTCAAGATCCACGCTGAGTCTGATGGGATATCAAGACATTAAGGGGAGACAGAGGTCAGGCTGGAGAGTTACCAACACACTGGTGACAACTGAAGCTATGATGGGGACCAAGATCTTCATGGGAGAGAGCAGAGAGACAGAAGCACAGAGAGGCAAGGATGAAGCTCTTTTGTTCACATATCCATTCGCCAAATTCTTTGTTTCTGTTTTTTATTTAGAGATGGGGTCTTATTATGCTGCCTAGGCTGGTCGCAAACTCCTGAGCTCAGGCGATCCACCTGCCTTGGCCTCTCAAAGTGCTAGGATTACAGATGTGAGCCACCGAGATGGCCAATTCACCAACTTCTTATTGAACACTTAGGAAGCCTGCATTCCAGTGGGGAGAGGGCAATAAATAAATGAGCAGATAGAGATATATCATGCAATTGATAAGGGAGGAAAAGCAAAATAAAGCTGGATAGGGGGACAGAACAGGACAGGGTGCTATTTTCATTAGAACGGCTGGGCAAGGCCCCTTTTAATTGAAGTGAGAAGGCAAAGCAAGGGTCCTGAGTAAGACAAAAAACCCTTGGTCCCAACTTCCTGTGGTTACAAACAGGGTTGAATAGGAACATGGGCAAACACTGGTCTGTAAATCTCCTAAGTGGTGATTTGGGAACCCCCTAAGGGTTTAGCAGATGCGCTCTTTCTTCCAAACTTCTCTTTCTCTAGGCTGAACTTCCCAAGCTGCCAAAGGCCTCCACTGGGGCCTGGTCATTTAGAGGGAAAAATGATATCAGCAACCCTAGGTGGCGACAGCTGATGAAGTTCTTTCAAATCCACAATGAAACCGGCCTTCACAATCATATTTTATAGACAAGAAAACTGAGGCTCAGAAAGATTAAACAACTTGCTGCAAGCTATAAAACTCATAATTACTAGAGTTGAGGTTCTAACTCAAGTGTATCTGCAGTAACTTTGACTTTTTTAAATTGTTAATTCTCATAAAAAGATCAAATTCTCAAAGGGAGGTAAAGTCAGGAGGACAATAGGCTAACATTTACTGTCTACCTCAGCATATGATCGTTCCTCAACTAGCCACTTGATGTCACTGCAGAGTCAGATGAGCATTCAAAAATACCCTGCAGTGACCTGTGTAATTTCTGATTCTGTTGAAAGCAGTGTGAATGAGATGGTGGAAGGCAAATGTCTAGGATTGTGTAGATATTTACAGATATTATCATATTTTATCCTCACAACACCGTAAAAGCTAGGTACTCATGCCAATCTTGCAGATGAGGAAACTGAGGTACAGTGAGGCTGGGGCAATATACCAAAGGCTATGGCCACTGAGTGATGAACTGGGTTGGAGCATAGGTCACCCCGAAAATAAACTCCTGGTTTCCAACTTTTTCCTTTATATCTAGACATTTCATTTAAACCATGAAAGTTTCATTAAAACCATCAAACTTCTCCTGCTCTTGGTCCCTATTGAGAACCTGGTGCTGAAATGAGCTGAAAAGGCCAAACTTTAACCTAAGTGCATGGAGAAAGGACAGTAGTCTGGAATGTCGCCGCTGGTCTAAGTGTGAGGATAATTCTATTGCCTCTTCTGAATACTAAATATATTCTAATAGTGCTATTTTTTTTTTCACAGCATTCTATTCATCTAAAAGCACTGGCAATTAACAACGTGAATAAATGTATAATCCCTTTGTAGACATCTCTTCACAAGGTCATAAAGAAGGAAGACTGAATGAAGGATGCCAGGCTTTCATTTTAGAATTAATTTTGTCATCGAATGCACTCACTGCATTATTTGACAGAACACTTTTTGCATTTGAAGGAGTACATTTGCCTTCCACCATCTCATTAACACTGCTTTCAACAGAATCAGAAATAACAGAAATCACTGCAGGGTACTTTTGAATGCTCATCTGACTCTGCAGTGACATCAAGTGGCTAGTTGAGGAACGATCATATGCTGTGTGAGAACTCCGTGTTAACAATTTCACGGAGCCACATTAGACACCACATTTGGCACTTTCATCTGTTTAGATTTCAGAGAGTTAAAAGGTAAGAGTCACCAACCTGCCTTTGATAGTACCTTTTAAATAGATACCCATTCCCACCATAAGAAACCAGCGTTCCTTAGAGAAATGACTAATTCCAGCTCTAAGGCAAGAAATGCTAAGATATGCTCAAAACATCTCATTATACCAGAAAGCCAGGGAGCTAACAAAGACTATGGGAGCTGTGTCAAAAGGACCAAGAAACCAACTTGAAGAGGCTCCCACCGGCCAACGGTGGGGCAATTAGAGCATCAATAAGAATAGTAACTCCAACAAACTGAAACATATCAAATGTGTTTAAATTCATACATTTATAATTACACTCAAGAAAACAAAGATGCAGACCACCTCACCTTTGGAAGATGTTATAGAATGAAATTATCATTCTGAAAACTGGTAAAGAAAGAGAAGGTATTGAGCAAGCATGTATCTTACTTTTTCTATACGAAATAAGGGAAGCCAAATAGTAAACGAGAGGAAGTTTTCTCTTCACCGAGTATTTCAGGTAACAAAAGAGGGAATATTATCGTTTTATGACCTCTAATGGAACAAGGCATCTAGGCAATGATGATCAACGGTGACCAACATCACTCAATCAGGGGCAATCAGACACTGTGGACCCCTGAAGGAAGTAAATACCACTATCTAGGAAATATTCTTGCCAAAACTTCAAAAACTTCAATCTGATCAAGGCTTTAGTTCCAACTACTAATTTATGGGCAATATGGGGGTCAGGGGGACCTGGTAGAATGGCATGGAAATGCAATCAGCAAAATCTAGACTACAGGGAATAAAAGGACAACTGATCCATAGATGGCAAGGAATAATGTAAAGGTGTGCTGGTAAAGAAATTCACAGAATAATAAAAGCTTAAAAATGTACGGTTGTGTGCACCCGTAATACAGCTACTTGGGAGGCTGAGGTGGGAGGAGTACCTGAGCGCGGGAGGTCAAGACTGCAGTGAGCTATGATCACACCACTGTACTCCAGCCTCGGCAACAGAGCAAGGCCTTGTCTCTTAAAAAAAAAAAAAAAAAAGCAAAGAACAACAACAACAACAACAACAAAAAAAACTGGGTGAGATGTGGTGGCTCATGCCTATAATCCTAGCACTTTGGGAGGCTGAGGTGGGCAGATCACTTGAGGTCAGGAGTTCGAGACCAGCCTGGCTACCATGGTGAAATAAAAATACAAAAAGTAGCCAGGCACGGTGGTACGTGCCTGTAATCCCAGCTACTTGGGAGGCTGACGCAGGAGAATTGCTTGAACCTGGGAGGTGGAAGTTGCAGTGCACTGAGATGGCGCCATTGCATTCTAGCCTGGGGAACAAGAGCGAAACTCCGTCTCCAAAAAAAAAAAAAAAAAAATACTGACCAATTGTAATAGATAGATCTGAGTTGGATCCAGATTCTAGCAAAATATTAAAACAAATGATAAGATAATGGTGGAAATCTGAGCTCTGAATATTTTGTATTATAAACTTTAAACATTAAAATTTTAGAAGAAATAAGGTATTATGATTATATTTTTTAAAAAATCTTCAGTAGTTACCTGAAATATTTATGTATGAAATAAAATGTCTTGAATTTGCCTAAAAATAATCCAGGGTAGGGCTGGGTGAATGCTGTGAAGATATACATGACACAGAATTGGCTTTGAGCTGATCATTGCTGTAGGTAGGGAATGGGCCCATAAGATTTCATGATCTTATACGCTTCTACCTTTCTATAAGTTTGAAAATTTCCATGCTAAAAATTTCAAGACAAAAGAAAAAAAATTACATCCACTAATTACCCTGGGCTGGTAAAACAAATGATCAGAAACTAGCCCATCTGCTTGAAGTCTTAATGTGAACTGATTGAATCATGTTTATCTCATTCCTTATGAAATAAGAATGAACAGAAAGAAGGAATAATTGCCGAAACCTGCTTCAGGTCATAAACATTAGGTAATATATAAATAGTACCTTAGTAAATACTGAAAGATATTTAACAATAATCCTATAATGTTACATTACAGGCACATACATACACATCATATATAGGAGGTTATATTCTCAGCATTTAACAAATGGAAAAGCTAAATTTTAAAGTGGCTGAATAACTTCCCAAGCATCATCTTGCCATTATGCAGTAGAGCTGGAAATCAAATAAAATACAAGTTCATTATATTATACCTGCTGCTTCCCAAACACAGGAAAGAGAATGGAAAAGACAAGCAGACATCTAACCCAGGCTGCAAGATTTAAGGAGGCGCTCACTCTCAGTTCCCATCCTGCACTTGGACAGCTGTGAGAGTGAGTGCTTCCTTAAATGTTGCACCCTAGGTGCTTTACTTCTTCACCCCAGGAAAAGGTATTGTTAAGTTAATTCGCTTTCTCCACAGCCTCTGCAGCGAAGCTGGGAAGTCTGAATGAGGACTGTGGAAGAAGCACAGGAGCTGAGGCTCTGGTGCCAGCTCCCAGCTGCATTACATTCACTGTCCTCTGGGGTCACCTGGCCTAGGACTGCCCTAGACCTAATGTGAGCAGTGAGGCTCACATTCTCAGAGCTTTCACACAGCTCCAGGGGAAACGGTCCCACCAGCAGGTGCAGGGTTGCAGCAGGGCAGCCAAGTTGGTCCCTGAAAGTGGACCAACACTCAGTCCTGTGCAAGATTATATGTATATGAATTTTTCATGAGGTTGCTCCTGAGCAGAACCAAACCACCTACGGTTACTTCTGGTGAAGACCCTGGTCATTCCCTGAGCCTGGTTTGGGGCCCGTCACATAGGAGGATTTTGACAAATATGGGAAGTCATCAATGATTTAGAAGAGACTTGGTTTCCGAGGGCAGGTTGCAGCCTGAGGGATAAAAACTGGTAGGGAACATGACCCCACATGAAGTCCTGGAAACAGGACCAGGAGGACAATAGAATAGATGCGTGCTCTGCTTAAATGACTACCGCCCCGGAACAACAAGCAGGGTGGCAGCCCAGCTCTGGCAAATGCTTCCTGCTCTCTGGCATTCAAAGGGAGTATGGGGTAGAAATCAGGTATTCTTCAGCCCTTTATGCTTCCCATGTGTCCATGAATCGAGACCATGGCTTGACTTAATATATTCGCTGAGTCTCCCAGAACCTTGCTCTGGCTAATGTAGACATTGATTGTAAGCTTAAGCAAAGCTTAGGCTCTACCCATCAATTTGACAACTGGCCAAGGCATTTATTCTGATAAAATACAAATGTGTGTGCCCTGCAGCCTGAAGAAATTAAAATGAGAAATTGTTAGGATTCAGTATTTCCTATTTACATTAATTCAGCTGCCATCAAAATTTGATGTGAATGCTTGCTAGAGGTGATGCGAGGAGTGGATAGGGAATCAAGCGCCACCCTGGGATGCCAGAAGGATAATCTCCTTACGTGGAATAGACAGTGATGCCTTCCCGTTCCTCAATCTTAACACTTTTGTCACTGGGAGCTGGTGGGTCGCTTTGAAATTGGTTTGGAATCCGGAACCAGACTTTTAATTTCTTCTGCAGAGAGCCATCTTCATTGGGGAACACGGCAAAGGAAATAGGGACTGTCATCCCCATCCCGATTCCTGAAAACACAAAAACACTGAGTGGGGCAGGGATTAGAGGTAGAGCTTGCTCAGCACTGTGGAAGACACATTAGTTCCATTCTTCTTTCAAGGCGGTATCTTTTGTTCTTGAAATTAACAATAAACATTTTAAATGCTAAAAATACATAGTCAGAAATACATGAATACCTCTTATTTGTATACACTGGTGGTAGGAGTACCACCAGTACACCAGTACAACTCTAAAAAATATTTGGCAATATATATCAAGACTGTAGATCATCAGTATCAAATTTCTTTCTTCCTTTCTCTCTCTTTCCCTCCCTCCCTCCCCTCCTTCCTTCCTTCTTTCTTTCCTTACTCTTTCTCTCTCTCTTTTCTTTCTTTCCTTCCTTTCTTTTCTTTCTTTCTCTCCTTCTCTCTCTCTTTCTCTTTCTTTTCTGTTCTTTCCTTTCTGACAGACTCTTGCTCTGTTGCCCAGGCTGCAGTGCAGTGGCACGATCTTGGCTTATGCAAACTCTGTCTCCTGGGTTCAAACAATTCTTGTGCCTCAGACTTACTTTCAAGTAGCTGGGATTATAGGTGTGTGCCACCATACCCAGCTTATTTTTGTATTTTTAGTAGAGATGGGGTTTCCCTATGTTGACCAGGCTGGTCTCGAACTCCTGACCTCAAGTGATCTGCCCATCTTGGCCTCCCAATGTGCTGGGATTACAGGTGTGAGCCACCATGGCTAGCCAGTATTTAATTACTTTCTTTTCTTTTCTTTTTTTTTTTAATAAGAAAAAGAATAAAGAAGAGGAAGAAAGAGAAAGAGGAAGAGGGAGAGAGGATGGGGGTATTGCTTTATTGCCCGGGCTAGAATGCAATCTAAATATGGGTATGCCTTTAATTGTCCTTAATAATGGAGATATAAAAGAAAATGAGGGAAGAGAATAACAAACAAGGAGCCAACCAACATTTCTTTTAAACTTCTAAGTTGATATGATGTGGAACTGATAAGAGTGTATATTTTGTATATTTAAAGTGGAGAGTTCTATAAATGTTAATTACATTTACTTGTTCCAGATCTGAGTTCAAGTCCTGAATATCGTTGTTAATTTTCTGTCTCATTGATCTGTCTAATATTAATGTTGAAGTCTCCCACTATTATTATGTGGGAGTCTAAGTCTCTTTATAAGTCTTGTATGTCTGCGTATTCCTGTATTGGGTGCGTATATATTTAGGATCTTTAGCTCTTCTTGTTGTTGCATTGATCCTTTTATCATTATATAATGTCCTTCTTTGCTTCTTTTGTTCTTTGTTGCTTAATTGTAACTTCTGCTTTTTATTTATTTATTTTAGCTCTCTGTTTGGTTGGTAAATCTTTCTCCATCCCTTGTTTGGAGTCTTTGTGTATCCTTGAATGTGAGATGGGTCTGGATGCAGCATACTGATGGGTTTTAGTTTTTTATTCAAATTGCCTGTCTTTGGATTGGGGGATTTAGTCAATTTAAATTTAGAATTAGTAATAATATTGGCCGGGCGCGGTGGCTCAAGCCTGAAATCCCAGCACTTTGGGAGGCCGAGGCGGGTGGATCACGAGGTCGAGAGATCGAGACCAACCTGGTCAACATGGTGAAACCCCGTCTCTACTAAAAATACAAAAATTAGCTGGGCATGGTGGTGCGTGCCTATAATCCCAGCTACTCAGGAGGCTGAGGCAGGAGAATTGCCTGAACCCAGGAGGCGGAGGTTGCAGTGAGCCGAGATCGCGCCATTGCACTCCAGCCTGGGTAACAAGAGCGAAACTCCGTCTCAAAAAAAAAAAAAACAAAAAACAATAGAATTAGTAATAATATATGTGAGTTTAATACTGCCATTAGCTGGCTATTTTGTCCATTAGTTGATGTAAATTCTTCGTTATATTGATGCTCTTTTTGATAATTTTTTTAGAAAGGCTGATACTGTTTGTTCCTTTCTATGTGTAGTGGTTCTTTCAGAAGCTCTTGTAAAGCAGGCCTGGTGGTGATGAAATCTCTGAGTGCTTGCTTATTCACAAAAAACTTTATTTTTCCTTCACTTATGAAGCTTAGTTTGGCTGGATGTGAAATTCTGGGTTGAAAGTTCTTTTCTTTAAGGATGTTGAATATTGGCCCCCACTCTCTTCTGGCTTGTAGGGTTTCTGCTGAGAGATCTGCTGTAAGTCTGATAGGCTTCCCTTTGTGGGTAACCTGACCTTTCTCTCTGGCTGCCCTTAGTATTTTCTCCTTCATTTCAACCCTGGTGAATCTGACGATTATGTGCCTTGGAGTTGCTCTTCTTGAGGAATATCTCTGTGGT